ATTGTGCTTTGGTGCAAAGACCCGAAAAGTGCGTTAAGAGCCTGCCAACAGCTAGGCCATATTTCGGTTTGGGCATGTCCGAAATGGGAGAAGTCAGAGGCAGAAGAGGTTTGTAGGTTGCTGACTGATCAACTTGGAGGTGTAGACTCAACTCATAAGGAGGTGTAAAATTTCTCTTGTTCGCTTTTAATTCCCATGAAGAATCGGTTTATCTTATCAGACTTCAGTGTAATGAACCTAGGGTCGTGCAGGAAGTCGTCGATGGCCTACTCGCACTAGGAACAGTATGGCGTAATGATGCAAGGGTGTGCGATACGTAAGGTCATACTGTCTGATGCTCAGTTTGGGGCTGCCACTCACCGCGTCTCCTCTGACAGTGGACTTGGTCAGGAAAATCTGTAATCGGTATAAGAGTTGCAAATAATTTAATACTCGTTTCATATGAAGAAAAAACGGTGCAGTGGAAAAACTGATTTTCAGGTATGATTTAGACAAATTGTGGCTGAAAGTACACCGTCTCTCGTCAGAAAGGGCTGACACGATTGTTAGGCTTGACGAATAATTGTTTGATGCACGTTCTGACGTCTGGAGTAGCGATCACGTAGACGAAAAAGTTCATTGCCGAGTTACAGCATATCAGCGTGCGGAACAACTTCACCAGATGATCATAAGACTCAAATGAGGTCGCGAACGTGGCCAGCACGATGCACACTCGTCCGCTGATTTGTGAGATGACTGTGATGAACATGACGCCGAGTTGGAGCCTGATTTGCCTCGTCTGCTGCTTGAAGTTGAACTCGCCAAGATGCGGCATGCCCCGCGTTCGGAACTGCTTGTGTTTATAGCGCATGATGCAGATCATTGTCAGACAGATGACGATGATCGCCGACGAGAAGAAGAGGTTCACGCCCTGGATGAGCATCAAGTAGTTCGGCGAGCCGGTGCAGTAGATGATGTCGCAGGAGTCTGCGACGAGGTTCTGCTTGTCAACCGTGTTAACAACCATGAGGGCGGTTTGCGTGGTCGTGAACACGACCGTGAACAGCACCATGGGCAGCTGGACGTAGACGAACGACAAACGTTCGTACAGGACCGGTCGCATGACGGCTATGAAGCGATCGATGGCCATGCTGAGGGCCAGGTACAAGGCCAGGGTCTCACAGGTGAACATCAGAGACAGGGTGCTGCAGCAGACGCTGCCGCCTACGTCGTGCAGGTCAATGAGGTGTGCCAGTTCTGCGACTCCCATCGACGCGAAGCAGGCGCCGGCCAGCAGGTCGTTAATCGACGACAGGCACAGAAGAGCGAAGCCTTTGCGACGCAACTTCCTGCTCTTGCAGAACGCGTACACAACAAGGCTGCTGGCGATGACCGCCACCAGACCGAACAGCAGCAGAATCACCGACGACGCATTCACATCGTTGAACGTCATGGCTTCCGACGAATCGTTCGACATGTCGATGACCAGCAGCTGCATGTCTTCGCCTCTTCGCAAGAGCCAACAGAGCTAAATAGACATTAATAAGCGCCGTCGATTCGCCTTGACACACAACGTCGATGACGTCGACGATGGGCGGGAAGTTTTGCGACTTTTCAAAACACACCCGATTCGCCAAATCTCAGTTCGTTTATAGGCGTACCTGACGACTACAGTATCTATGATGGTGATGCAGTATCTTAGTTGTTCTGGCTCACAAACCAATGGTAGATCGGTAGGAATTTGCGAACTACAACGAAGCAAATCAAGGAATCGGAAACAGACGGAGTTCTGGCATGGGTTTGTTCGAAAACAGTCTAACCTAGTCACACTTTCACATCATTCTCCAACGGATCGTGGCAATCTTGGTTGAATGTTCTTTTATTCAACTCCAGTCTGTGACGCGACGCGGTGGTGC